TGATAAGATATACGTTTTTCGCCGCATGGTGGGTATATAAAATTCGTCTCGTCATTAAATTCCTTAGCTGTGAAACATAGATATATTTATTATAGTCCTCTTCTTGTGTGGTGTTCACATTTTCATTATTTTTTTTTTCAAATATTGATATAAACGCCGTAAAATAATAAATATTATAATTCGTTTCACAATTTTTTTTTTGTAAATAATTTTTGTTAGTGTCAGAATATTGCCTTTTAACGGTTTAGTATATCACCTTCTATACGTGAGAAATGTCTCTAGGTTGTGTGTATAATTATCCTTGTGTTTGTTAGTTGTTAGCTTTTCTTTCCTTTTTTTTTTTTTTTTTCTTATGACCTTGTTGTTGCTTTTCTATCTTAGCCTTAAATAATTCGGAATAGTTTGAGTGAGTAGTAAGTAGTCTTACGTGTATGCAATTTGAGTCATCACATAATTTTGAATTAATTAACCTATGAAGACTTGCCAATCTGTCTGCTTTTCGAATCTAACCTTTCAAAGGGCACGTTAAGTGTAAGCAAACATATGAGTTTTCATAAATCAAAGAAAGTAATGCATTTATATATATATATATAATATATATGTGTGTGTGACATGCACATTTTATCTTTTCATGCCTTTTATTTAGTTTTATACTTAAAATCAGTTAAGAATGCCTTACGGATAGGATAGGCCCGTGTTTTATTATACCGAACAATTCAAAATAATTTTCTAATTCGATTTATTCATATCCATGTATGTCTCTGCCATTTTGTGTATCCATCGACTTGATGCACTCTTACGGTGACAGATTTCGATATATATTAAGCAAATGTGCAATGCGTTCTAAAACGCAAGTAATGCGTCGTTTATGCGGTAAAGTGCCGCCAACAACAAAAATGGCGTGGCAGCTGGCAATTCAAGGTTATTAAAATTGGAACGGTACATGGAAGCCTCTTCATTGCTCACTAATATAGCTACAAATCGAAAAAAGATCGAGCAAAGTTTTCTTCAGCGTTGAAGCGTACTTTCATCCCGATGACTTCGTTTGTCGGCGAATTTATCACATTTGGGTTTCAGAAAATCCGCGGGCGATTGTTGAGCAACGTTGAGTACGTTCACAACGTGTCCCTGCTGAGTAAGCATTTTTGCTGCAAGCATCGTCGAGCCGTTTCTCTTCGAAGCAGTTTATGTGTCGCTTTAGTAAGACCTTACCAACCCGAGAAGCTTTTCGGAAAGCTATTATTCACGAGTTATTTTCTAGTCGTTTTGGTGATCTCAATTTTCTGTTTGGCCACCATGGTCATGCGATTTAAGACAGTTGAACTTTGTTTTTGAAGTTTTTTTTTTTTGAGATACCACTTGAAGAGGAATGGAGGCCTGTGAGGTAAACGTACTGAGCCTAGCTAGTTCGTGAAATGTGGGAGGGGTTGTATAACTTGCTTACGGATACGCCAAAAAACTTGCACGTACTTGTTCCTTATCGAATACCACATGGACGAAACTAGCCGATCGGGGACATGCCGCTGGACCTATTCTTCGCCCACCCTGCGCATTGGTCTCTCTTCGGCCCATAGAAACGTTTGTAGAAGACGTCTTAAAAGATAGAATTGAACGCCGTATCAACGATATTCGCATTTAGGCAAAATTGTCACAGAATGGCGCTTATAAGCCAGCAATGTTTTGGAGGCCATTTAGTATGTATGTTATTCCTCCTATCGACTAGTGTAAATAAAAAATTTACGACTTTTAATTATCTTTATTTTCTATGGAAACTCCTTCTTGCGTAAATTTCGTGATGGCCCGAGCCACTTTTATGGCCGCCCTCCGTATAAAGACTTACTTTGGAACAAAAATGAAGTGTTTTAGCCCACAAAAAACGATCTGAAAAGTTTTGATAAAATAGAACCCTCTCTCGCAGAAATATTCTTTCAGTAAGGACAGTTTTTTATGCGAAAAAGTAACTTTTGACACATAAAGACGAAGTAGGTCAAGAATTGCCGGGCAGGCATTGCCCGAGTATAACTTTTTCAATTCCTCTTCAACTCTTTTATTCGAAGATAGTAATGGTTAACCTTTGCAGTGTTGCAGAAAAACATTAGCCACCAAATTTTTTTGTTAGTAACTTGACAACGTTAAGTCACTTTGCCTATTAACAAAAACGCCGAGTTAATAACGGAATGAAACTAACCGTTGAGGGCGGATTCGTGATGAAAATGCCAGAATTTTCCGCGAGACAGAACAACTTGATCAAAGCCATTTAAAAGCACGAATTGATTGTTCGGCTTGGACCAACAAAGTCATTGTACATAAATCGAAAAATCAAATCGAATGTTTCGCAAACATGTTGACATATTGATAAACGGGAGAATCTTACAATGCCATGCAATTTTGCTAACTTTGCTCAAATTATTCAAGACACTTAGCTGTTTGCTTGCCGTGACAACAACCAGCTGCAGTAAATTGGCAAGTTTTCTACGAAACAGTACGCATGCGACACGAGCAAAATATGTTATGTAAAAATTGTTTTTTATTCATTAAATATTTGCTTGAAACCATAAACAACATAGTGAAGGAAAAAAAAATTGTATAAGTTAATCGCCTTTTTTTTCTTTGAGGTATTAGATGTCAAATTCTGTGAATGGTTTTCAATCGTGTATAACTTTTCGTAGAGGAAGTCGAAGAGAATGAAAATGATTGATTTAAAAGCAAAGGTGTTTAAACCTGGGAAGCTAAATACTTTTTCTGAATGTTTTTCTAGAATTTCTTCCTAATAAAATCAAAAATGTTTATATATATCATTAGCGATTTGAAGGTGTATTGATTTTCTGCTTGACGGTATATTCATTTGCTTAAAATTTATGCAATACCGAGAAAGGAACTTCAGTAGCCCCACAAAGTAAATATTTGTTTATTTGTTTGCACATGAAGTAGACTCTTAACAATAAATAGATCTCAAGCTGAACAGTATACTTGACATTTATTAAGTGTAAGAAATCAAGAAAGAACAAGAAGTCCAAGAAAAAACCACATACGTTTTTCGCACAGAAGCAAGTAAGTGACGGGTACAATTCGGAACGGTTGGAAGTGAATTCCAAAATAGATGCAAACATGCAGTTATATTTAAATGTGCTTAGCAAAGACCCAACCCTTTTTTTTTTTTTTTTTTTTTTTTTTTGAGCTCTGTTAAGCAGTTAATAGAATTCTGTTAAATGAAATCTCGGAGGGATTTAAGCCAAAATATAGTTAAATTAGAACTTTTCGAGAATTTTTTTTTATAATATTACTGTAATTATAGACGAAACACGCCTTTATTAACATTCCAAAGGTCTTAATATAACCTACACATCGTTGCAAAGGCTATTAATAGAAAATTCATGCCGTACTAGTTTCATTTTTTCACAGGCCACAGTGACCTTTCAAAGTTTGCTTATATGTGTTAGCCTATGTTATGTTAATATGTCAATTTTCAAAGTCCCATAAAAAAATTCTATGAACAAAAAATAATATAAGCTGCACATCGCTGGAAAGGATATTAATAGAGGATTCATGCCGTACGGGTTTCATTTTTTCACAGGGCATAGTTTGCCCATAGTAACTAAGCAAACTTTCGCTTTATCGACCTCATTATGAGGTACCGTAAAAATACTGGCTTTTCAAGTACTAATTAATTTACATTAATAACCCTTCTGCTTATAACATTTTGTAAAAAAATTCTCGACTTTTATTTTAACTGTATTTTGACTTAAATCCCTCCGAGACTTCGATATCGTTTAACAGAATTCTATTAGCGGCTTCGCTGAGGTCTGCCAAAAAAAATGGGTTGTGCCTTCGCAAGTACATGTACATATACATATTTGTTGTTGATTTCAATAACGGATTAAGCCGAATCCTTTACTATCCCGGATTAAGTCTACGATATCTGATCATGAGATAGAGCGAAGATTGTCCTATAGGTCGTTCGTGTACCACACCGCTGATGGCAAATGGAGAATTTAGTACCCAAAAGTAAGCGCTCAGCGTATAATAAATGGGTTTCGCAAAATCGTAACCAAATCCTTAGTCCGATTTAGATCTTTTTTGAACAAAGGTTAAGGTTGAGCAAAAGTTAAGAAGTTGACCGCTTCTTTGATTGAATAAAAATCCAAACTAACCAAGTTGTGAAAGTTCGGAAAGAGGGGAAAATTTACTGAGATTTTTCACCTTTTCCGAAATTGAGTGATAAGATCAGGCTAGTTTTGTCCTTCAAGAAGAATCCACAAAATTGTAAATATGTTTGGCGAAAGAACAACAGAGTGGACATTGTCAATCCGATTTCGTTGGTGGACAAGCATTTCACAAATCCAAAGCATTTTCCTTAGATATCGCAAAAACGAAAGTTGGCCAGCCCTCTCTCTCTCTCTCTCTCTCTCTCTCTCTCTCTCTCTCTCTCTCTCTCTCTCTCTCTCTCTCTCTCTCTCTCTCTCTCTCTCTCTCTCTCTCTCGCTCACTCTCACCAAATTGTTTTAACAGAATGCTTATTTTTGAAGAAATTACCATTATGGGTTACTGTACCAAATTTCATCAAAATGTTTCAAAAATTGCCACCGGTAGCATAGACAGACATCAGACCAACAGATGGGCTTAGATTAATTCAGATTATGATTACCGGTATAATAAAAGGTGAATCTATCTTAAGTCCTAGTGCTTGTTACATACGTCCGCATTAACTTAATATACCCTGTACCACAAGTGATGTAGGGTATAAGTACTTCTACTATAGACCTTGCCTCAAATTGCGAAATTGTGAAGAAATCTACGTTAAACATGTGCAGCTTTATGTTGAAAAGTGTTAAAAATTGCAAGTCCAGACGGAGTCATATATACATACAATATTCTTGTTGATATCTTTTACCATTTTGTAAAAAAGAAAAAAAAAACACTTATTTGATAACCCCATCTTCCCGCGTATTAGCAGTAAAAATTTTTGAATTTTTTTTTTTTTGGATCGATTTTTATTACAGGTGGCCGTGAAAATCATAGATAAAACATGCCTAAACGAAGAGTATTTAGCGAAAACATATCGTGAGATATCAATACTGAAAACGTTACGTCATCCGCATATAACACGTCTCTATGAGGTGATGCAATCAGAGACTATGATTTATTTGGTGACGGAGTATGCTTGTCAAGGGGAAATCTTCGATCACTTAGTTGAGAATGGTCGGATGAAAGAACCTGAAGCGGCTCGTGTCTTCACTCAATTAGTATCAGCCGTACAGTATTGTCATTCGAAGGGTGTAGTGCATCGCGATCTCAAAGCTGAAAATGTTCTGCTGGATAAAGATATGAATATTAAGGTGAAGTCTGCAAAAAGAGAAAGAAAGAAAAGCGACTATATGGAGAAATTTAATTTTAGCTGGCAGATTTTGGATTTAGTAATCGCTACAAAGAAGGTAATCCCCTAACTACGTGGTGCGGTTCGCCACCTTATGCCGCGCCTGAAGTATTTCAGGGTTTAGAGTACGATGGACCCAAAGCTGATATATGGAGTCTGGGCGTAGTTTTGTATGCTTTAGTTTGTGGAGCTTTACCATTCGATGGCAAAACGTTATTAGAACTGAAAAGTCGTGTAGTTACCGGTAAATTTCGCATTCCATATTTTATGTCGCAAGGTATGTAATCGAAATATAAATAATATAAATTATATAAATAAATATCTTTTTTATTATTTAGACTGTGAACATTTAATACGTAACATGTTGGTTGTCGAGCCAGATCGACGTTATACCCTCAAACAAATTATTAAACACCGTTGGCTTAGCGAATGGATTAACGAAATCGAACAGCAATGTTATGAGACTACGCATTCGTATGTCTCCCCATCGAATCCTTTAATGCGTAGCAATAGTAATTGCTCATTAGATGCCAATAGCACCAATACCTGCACTGCGGTACCAAATCTCGATACTGTAGTTATGAGTCACATGCTACAATTGTCCGGATTGACAGCTGACAAAATCGCTCAGTCAGTGCATGAAAATCGTTTCGATAATATTTACGCAATTTATCATTTGTTATATGATAAATTACAACAAAAACGCAGAGAATATGAAAGGCTACAACAACATGCCAAACGTGTAAGGTAAAGCTATACGAAAAAAAAAAACAAAAAGAGAAAACATGACACAAAAGGATATTTTATTTATTTAAATTTATTTTCAGATCTCGTACTAGTATTACAACAGGCATTGTCGACCGTTCGGACACTTTACACTCTCAGGATTTAGTAGACCGATTAAGTCCTTTGAGTAATACTAACGCTACGCAAAGTACTTTAGATTATCAATGGTCAGATGTTTCAGGAGATTTGGAAAAATTCAGTGATATCGAATTGGAATGTCTGCAAAGACAAAATGAGGTAAGCAATGACAAATTTGGAGGATTTGGCTGACTGAGCTGACTGAACGCGAGTTTTGCTTCGATTCATTTTTGTCAGGTTAAAGTGACAAGAATTTTAATAGCAAAATTTTGCGTACATAGGTCTAATTTTCAAAAGCACATAACCTGCCTCCTAATGCACGCGTCGTATTTAAGGCGCGTGACATTTGAAAAAGCATTGATAAGCAAATGGCACAGAACCCTATTGCACCTATCGAAAGCTCCAAGAAACTATATTGTGTCTGCTTTAGTATGATAATTTTAAAATTATGAAATAATATTCGCCGTGAAATATTAAAAGTTATATGTTTTTACCATATAAAGATTCAGTTTTCATAGGATAGGTTATATGAGAAGAGGTGTAAAAAATAGTGTCCCCGCCGAACAAAACTTTTCATACCAATTTAGCATGTCTAAATACCATTACAGAGCGAGTTTTGCCGAGAAGTTTTGAAAAAGGCAATTTTTTCCTTCCAACGACTTTTCAAAATAGGGCGTTTTATGGGGTATGATCGTATGATCGAAAAAATGAACCGCGCCTTCAAAAGCATGCCAGTGTAGTAAATTTCATCAAAATATCTCGAAAATTTCGGTTTTTGACTTGAACACTAATTTACCGGAGAAGAAATCGGACGGGCAGACGGATAGACAGGCTTAGATCAATTCAGATTATGATTCTGAATCGACCGATATAATGAAAGGTCTGTTTATCTTAAGCCCTTCTGCATGTTACATGCGTCCCGACTAACTTAATATACTCTATACCGCAAATAGTATTAGGCTAAAACGATTTCGATTCGACCGGTATGATAAGAGCTGGGTATACATTAAGTCTTTTTGCGTGTGCGCATACGTCCGCAAAAACTTAATTACCCTTACCTTAAACTTAACTTACTCTATACCACAAATGGTGTAGGGTATAATTATGGAACTGAAAAACCGAATTAACTGAAACAATGCATTTTTTTTTTTTTTTTTTGAAATAGAAATAATTACGCGTTCTTCTATAGAAAATTTGAAGGTTTTTTTTAAAAGTGTAGTAGTATGCATGAATTTATTCTGTGTTCCGTTCGTCGTTTAAAATTTTATGCAAATTTTTCCAGCTACAAAATCCAAATCAAAACGCCAACTTGGCTCAGGGTGCCAATAGTAACAATGGTAATACACGTCGTCATACGGTGGGTCCGGGAGATGTGGCACATGAACAGGCATTAGCCGATCCTAATGTAGTGCCATTGAATTTTAAATGTGAACCGCAAAATAAAGAACAACAAAGCGGTACTTACCCGCCCATTAATTTACCCATGTTACAAAATCAACCGTTACATTATCTTACAATTAAAGATCAGCATTTACTTAAACCGCCATTAGCGATGGGAGCAAGTAAGTTAAAAAAGGAGAAAATTAAAAAAAACTGAGTAACATAAATAAAACGAACAAAATCTCAGCAGGCTCATTCAATCGTCGTGCGTCGGATGGTGGCGCCAATTTACCATATTGTTTTACAACAATGCAACATCAGTCGCAGTCACAAGCTGCAACAGAAAATCCTTATTATATCGATCCGCAAACCACTACCAATATAAGCGTAGCCGGTCAAGAATCTTATATAACAGCGGTGGCTGAACCAATGAAAGCCGACAATGTTGCCGTTAATAGCAATGAAGAAGGCACTGAAGATATACAAAGGTAAAAAAATTTATAAATCTCGTATCTAATTAGTTGAATGATAAATGTTTCCCTTTTGTTAATGTTAATCAGATACATGCAAATGCGTGGTTGCGCTAAGAGGCATACCGTTGGCTGTACAGAAGATTTGACAGGCACTCATCATACATCCGATCAACAGTCTACAATGCCGCGGTTACCAGGTACAGCGCCCAGTGGTGTAATGAACTCTACTGCCGGCGGTGGAGGTCTTCGCACGCGCCGCACTGGCCTCTTAACAGTTACCGAACGACCGCCAGGTATGTATGAAGAACAATTCATTCGAATATTTGCATGTCAGTTCGTGGCACTTTATTGCATCTGCAAAAAAATGGGATATACAGCCCCATTACATCCGACATATTTTTTTTTAATTTTATTTTTATTTTCATTTTTTTTTTTTTTCTTATTTACTTATTATATATTTTGCAAATTAATTTGATGTTTCTCCTCATTTCATTTTCTTTTTCCCGTTTGTTTTTTCTATTTTCGATGTTTTTGTTGTGTATTTTTTATGTTTGTTGCGTGAATGTGTGTATGATATTTGGGTAATTAACATATTATCCGCTATAACGTTTTAAAAATGAAAAACTAATAACCAATCAATGTTTTAAAATAACACGAATATATTTTTGATATATCTTCGGCTCCCTATAAAAATAATTGTTGCTCCCCCAATAAACAATAATAATAATAATAATAATAATTAAAATGATAAATAAATTTGCTTTGCATACCAATCTTCCTTGCAAATTGTGTGATTTCTTGTCCTTGTGTGTGTGCTCTGCTCGGTTTGTCATTTAAACATGTATTAGTTATAAGTCCCGAATTGATACGTGAAGTAGAAACACGCATGAATCGTAATTATTTGCCACCGGCACTGAAAATGCAACAACGCAACAATTCTGGTGGTCTTAGTCAATCGCCACCAACCAGTGGCGGCGGCCACCATAATTCGCTCTATATAGGCGGCTCCCATTATAATGCCTCATCAACAAATAGTTCTTCCTACCCAACAGCGGGTAACAACTCGTCTGTCACACCTTCCGCCGCGACTGCTGCTTTGTGTAATCAGTCGCCATTGTCTCTTGGCTCAACGACAACCTCGCAAACGGCGCAGACCGCCGCCGCTGTTATCACTGGCTACGCTAGTAATAGACGTATTTACGGTAGAGCCTGTAAATTGCCGCCTGTTCAAGAAGTCGGTAAGTTTTATAATTTCTTTTTTTTCATTTATTTTATTATTATTGTGTATCATCGTTTGTTCACTTTCTAGATTAAATTTAATTACCTTTATTTAATTATTTAATTGTTTAGTTAATTAGTTTATATTTATTTAACAGTAAAATTAATGCAAGTTATTTAAAATTTACATGCCACTTATATGAGCACACATCGTTCACCTTACAGCGCACAACCAACCAACCAACCAACCAACCAACGTTCACTTACATATCTGAGGAGATTTTCAATTATTTCAGAATTTAGAGAAAAAGGTTTTATTAAGGCATGCAAGAGAATTTGAAATGTTGCAAAAGGTTCAAAGACCTGAATCCGACCTAGCAAAATTGTTCCCCTTCATTTAATATAGTAAAATAAAATTTTGCATCGATTTTTCTCAAGCAATAATGAAAATGACCCCACCATTGAATAATCGGGTTATACTCAACGTATGTAACACCCCAAAAGGAAACTTCAGAGATCCTATATAAAGTCTATATATTCTTTAGCAGCGTGAAATTCTGAATTGATTAAGTCATGTCTGTCCGCCTGAGTGGTGTTTATTGTTAGCACTCACCCGGTCGCAAAAATGAAAATATCGACTTTAAATTTAGTAAAAACATTCGAAGCTTTTGTGCACACATGTCGATATTGAAAATGGATCAAATTGGTCGGAGCGGAAGCCCCCAGTGGAACGTAAACTGAACGCAACTTTTTTTTTGGTTTTTGCTCGTTACTCCAAAATTATGAAAAAAGTTTGAAATTTTCCACATTTACCTTATGAAATGCTCTATGCTTTACTTGCAAATATGCTTTACTTGGAAAAAATCGGCCATGCCCACACAAAGTTCCAAGCAACTAAATTTTATTTTTTCGAATTTTTTGAGGTGTTATGCTTATTTACTAGAAGGCAAACAAGACAGAGTGCTTAAAAGCGCAATCAGTACATTCCTCAAATGAAGATATATTATCTGCCTAAAAACGCGTTAATGTAATTAACTAATTGCGTGGGCAAGACGTAGCGCGACCTAGAAGATCTATTGTAGTCAAATGCTCGCCGCTCACTTGATATTTGATTCTGCAGATGGCCTCCCATTCACGTAGAATATGATGTGGCGTATCACTTGACCCTTGGCAGCAGAATCTGCATGAATCGGTATCGGATATACCCATGTTTTTTCAGATGGTAGCTGAGGGTTTCGTCTTCTTCTTCTTAGTTCCACTTGTTTAGGTGCAATACCGGAAGATTTTATGAATCTTTTTGCCTGCCGTTGTCCTGCACATTGTTTTCAACGACAATCCGCTTTTTCTCTGTGCCCATTCCTATACCAGCATATTAATGCGGTTTCTTGGTACGCTACAAAACGGTTCAGGACCGACCATGGGACTTTAAGGCAGCTTAATTGTCGGAGTATATGTAGATCTGCTTTCTCCTGCACTGCCATCTTAAGCATTCAGATGCACATGCAGTGATTGCGTAGACTGCTACTTGGAGTATGGAAGGACTATGTCTCATTGGTACGGCCTTTTAGAAACTTGGCCACAAACCCGAGCCCTAGTTTTACCATTTTTCAGTTTCAAATTGTCGGTGTACCACTTCCTTGATTCCACCCCATATTCAAAAGTTTGCCCGTCCCAACCTGTTCCCGGCGGTATGATCAGGTGTGAACAGGTGTGACAGTTTTAAAAAAAATTGGTTTAGTTCTAAAATGAATATGGCAGCTACCGCGATTAATTTTTTCCTAATAACACCAACGATATGTTTATCAAAGAAAAGAACTGAGAGAGTAGAATGCGAGAAGCAGGTGGATATGCGAGTTTCGACTCTCGCCGAATATAACTTTCTTATTTCTATCAGATAATGATTGTTCGTAACAATTTTCTGATTGAATCGATTTTGAATATCATTCGTCCTTGTGCTAAAAAATTTCCTTATAATGTATAGAAACTATCGATTATCCTCTTCCTCATATGACCAATAGAGAGAACAAAACGGCGATGCTTGAAATTGCTGTTGAAGTACAAGCTAGTACAAGCGTTAACTAACGACAGTATTTTACTGTTACTGTTTTATGGGAAGTAATTCGGACCAAATGGTGTTACGCTTTTAAAGAATTATGCGCGATAGATAGACTAAGAAGTTGTGTGAAAGATTATTTATGCATCCTTAATTTTATTATTCTTATATTCTTTTCAGGACGCTATAGTCCAGTACGACGAGCTTCTGAAGGTTCAAAAACCCAATTTCAGGGACCTTTGCAGGAGTGTCAGTATCTACAAAAAGGTATTGCTCAACGTAATTTTTTGTGTGCACCCAGCCCACCGCTTTTAGAAAATTCAATCAGTTTGCCTGGTAAGCCATCACAAGCTTTTGTCAGTTGACACTTTTATTACATGAGCATGAATTAAGCCAAACGCTTGGACAAACATTTTTTACGTTTTTTTTTTTTTTTTTTTTTTATAATTTAAATATTTTTGCAAATATTAGTAAGTGAAAATTTGTATTCATCTGTAGGCTCTCCATTGCATGGCAAGCCGTCCATAACTTGCCATAATATGTTAAGACGAAGTGGCGTTTGCGGTGTTTCAACAGCTCAACCGATAGTAGCGGCTAAACAGGATGTTGAATTAACAGCTGACGCCCTTAAGAATCTAATGCCAACTTTGGATCAGCTAGTGAAAGAGCAACGGCTCAGCGTAGAAAGGGCGAATAAAATTATTGCCGATCGTTTAATGCCTTTGGTGTTGGCAAACTACTTAGGTTTAACAACAATGTCCAGTGGTCATGAGTATTTACAGCCTCAGCAAATGTTTAGTTTTAGTGTCTCACCATTATCGCTGCCAAATAGCACTAGTAATAGCAATAATCAAATGGTAACACCAGCCGTCAGTGGTCCCCTGCTGCAACAACTTAATACTAATATAGGCAGCAATGTGCCAGCTGCGCTAGCTAGTCAAACGCCTGTAATGGGCTTACATTCCAAACAACTGTTAGGCGGTGCTGCCTATCAATTGCCACAATATGCGACGCCCGGTTCTATATATTCAGCAAATAGCAGCGCTTGCCCTTCACCTATTTATGGTAGTTTTAGCGGCTCTGCTTCGCCAAATGCTTACCTAACGGGTACAAACAGTGCCAATGGCGGCGGTGGATCATCTCCTTTACATCAGATAACCAAAGGTATATCTTACCTCAGCACGGGAGGTGGAGGTTCGATAACACGTGGCACCTCAATAGTAAGCGAAATAACAGCGGTTCACAATCAACCGTTAGATCTCTCTATGGACATCAGCTCACCAGAAGATTCTGAGACGCCACAGGGTTCTGTAACACCTCAAAATTGGTTTAATCCGGCTTCTGCTTATTATGATATCAAACCTTTGAATTTATCGCCGGCTCAACCTGTTAGGGTCGTCACCACGCCTCCGACATCGCCTAACTTGTGCATAATACAAGAAGAGAATAGTCATGGACAAATGTGTCATACAATTAGCACTGGAACACCTTACGCGGGATGCACTGGTGGCATTACACCAACACCGACAACTGGAAACGTAAGCGGTGATTCTAGCCCTACACCAAATCAACCCTCACATCCTCAGATATGCTTAACGGACGTGCAAGGAAGCGAAATAACTTTGGTGGCCTTATCTCCTGAAAACAGTCGTGATAGCGATATTGACGCTGCAGAGTTGCAAACAACACCCTTGATGTCTTTGCAAGGTTTGATTATTACCGAGCCCTCGCTGGATATGCCATCGATAACAAGAGGCATTGGTCGTAAAACGAGTTTAGAAAGTGAACAACACGGTACAACGCATACGCAAACTGGTGAGGGTAATAGACGAGGAAGCGATAAATCATTGGGTTTTTCTGATGATTCATTGAGCAATGATTCAAATAATTTATCACCCTGTCAAGAACCTTCCGCTAGTTCAGGTTTTAAGTCTGATTCACATTCCGAAATAGGCGATCCAACTGAGGGGCATTTAACGCCCGATTCTCTAAGTGAATTAAGACGCATGTCCGATGAAATGTGTTATGAGGTACCTCTTCCACATGAATGTTCTAATCTAGAAACCAGCCGCATTTTGGAAATAGTTAAGCAAACCATTGATTCCACTATGCCGCCCAAAGGCTTTATTTTGCATAAGAGACAAACAAATGAAGCAATGGATGGAACATCTGTAGAGTCGGCGATCAATGGCAGTCGCCCGGACACACGTTTAAGTATTGCTTCAGATTCTTCTCACGTCTGCTCTGTTATGGACACTGGCCAAGCTTTAACCAATTTAAGTCTAGAATATTCCGGTGGTTTACAAATTGAAGTTCAAGTATGTGAAGGCCGAAGTCGTGACAACCAAATAGCAGGTAAAGGTATTAAGCTAAGACGGATATCGGGCGATCAATTCGAATACGGGAAATTATGCCAACAATTGATTAGCAATTTAAGCATGCAACAGGTGGCCGGTTAGCTAGAGTAAGGTTAAAAACAAAATTTTTGGTTTTATGTAATTACAGATTTAACGGAATATTCTGTTGGAAGTAGAGGAGTAACTGTTGTATGTAAATTTCTGTAATATATTTTAGTGAGTTTTTTTTTGGAATTTCAAATTGCTTTTGAAAAATTATGTACAAAAAAAAAATTTGTAAAATTAATGAAAGTCAATAAATAAAAACACTAGAGAAAAATAATTTCAATTATGCTGTAGTTAGTATATATCGACCGTTTAAAAAATGGTCCAAATAAGAATGTTTCACTAATAACATTATTATCTAGTGTATCCGTGTATAAGTGCTAAACAACAGTTCGATAAATCGTACTATTTATAAAGTAATATCGTCAGTTAATCAAGTTTCAATTTGATATATTCTTTTTTTTCGATAAATCGCATTTCGTTCGTAAATTGTTTAAGTAAAAAAAAAAAGAAAGAACTCTTAACGGTAGCAGATGTTGATCAGGAGCTTGTGGTGCAAATATCTCCTGAGGCTGTCGGGCATTGTTATTAACAAGTTCTTTTAATTTTGCTTTGAATTGGTCAATATGAGAAATTTCGAAAAAGAAAAATTGGTTGCTTTATAAATTAAAAAAATTAAATTTTAAATTTCCCGTGATACCGTCTCAAACATTTCTCTTCTTTTTTTTTTTTTTTTTGTATATTTATTTTCGTTGCTCTTTTAATTATCGTGGCAAACGGAGACAGATCTTATGTCGACCAACTCAAGAAGACAACTATTATTATATCAACTTACAATCGTATTAGTATTTTTTAAAATATTTACATAAATTTCGACCTAACTTAAATAAACTAAAATCCTGTCAATGAATAAATACAATAAAAAAATTAAAAATATATTTGCATAATGATTCCTTTATTCGGCGAGCCTACTCTGAATTTTGATGTACATACTCACTCAATACTCTCCGTATTACTAGCAGTATAAGAATATATATCAAAGAAAAAAAGTCCTAAAAGACGTTTACTGAAACAATTGTTAATATTAAAATCTTTAAAAAATATCAGGCATTCAATTTTTTAGTTTAATTACAAAAAAAAAAAAATAAAAAGACGCAAAAACCCGAAAGCGTTAGGAAAATCCCATCAGAAATACTAAAAATATACTTTTTCTTCCCCCAATTTTATGATAAAACTTTCATGAACTATAAATGAATTTTTTAAATATTTATAAGAAATTGTGATTTCAATCAACTTATTCGAAACTTGTAAATACACGAACGACTCTTTGCCAATATTATTAACGATTATATTAAAAAGCACAAATCTCTTAAGGAATGTAGCAATTATCATAAATATAAACAAACATTGTAGAAAAATAATTATCAATTATCTGAACTAAGTACGAAAAATATTTGAATATATTACAAAAACTGAACATTCCAAATAAAAAAAAAAGCAAAAAATAAATAAACAAAACTATTTTTTATTTAAATAATATTTAAAATTTAAAATAATTTTTTTCCTTTTATTAGCCTTAAACTAAATATATTTTTATTTTATAAAAATTTTTTTTATGTAGTACTTTTTTAAGTTTGTAAAATAAATTTAAAATTATTTCATATTTCTCGTTCTTAAAAAATATGCACAAAATTTGTTATCTGTACTGGATTTCGAAAAAAAAAACCAGGAAGCTTTTAACACCAATTTTCTTATACACTTATGGCATCAAATTCTTATTTTCTATATTAAAAACTTTCCATGGATTTCTATTTAATTAATTCTACTTGATTATACTAACGGGATTACAAATTTTGACAAATACGCTTGTTAAGTTAAGCGAATGTATGAAATTGTAATGTGCTCTTCTCATTGGATGGGGTGTAGCAACCACCTAACACAATAACAAGTTGTTTATTCAGTATTAATACAATCTCAACTAACTTCTTCGAAGAATAAGAAACAAACTTTTGTTTAATTTTTCTTATTATTATATACTTTATTTTCATTTGTCGGATAGTATTTTGCCGTCTGTTTTGTTTATATTAATCTCATGCGATAAGAAATTGTACAACTCTCTCATTTCAAACTAAATTCACTGGAACGGACTAAGCCATGGATTCTGATAATCCAATCCAACCATAAAACCTACGACTGTAGTAGTCGTTGGTTCATTGAGGTGATATAGAAACGAACCACCATAGATTTATCCAAAGGCCAACATATGGTGTACTCCACTAAACCAGGTCTAAGGTAGGTGTAAGAGTATTAAGAATAGTAATACATTTTTATTATTTTCTAAATCCTACTGATGTATTTCCGGTTGTATCTCCCAAACTTCTTTTAATCCTATGCCATACGTTTGGTGTTGGCTGCCTTCGTTCAAATTAAATTGTCGCATAATTTGTTTAGTTAAATGGCCGCGACATCCCTCCGCAAATATAGTAGTTTTAGCATGTAACTCCATTCCTCGTGCAAAGGTATCTTTTGGTGAACCGTCTTTGGCTATGCCCACATCATTCGTGGTTACACCCTTAACACTGCCATCTTTATGGAAGAGTACCTCTGCGGCAGCACAACCTGGATAGATTTCAACCCCCAAAAGCTTCAGCTTGTTCGCCCAACCACTTAACCAAATGGCCTAAACGCACCACATGGTTGCCATGATTATCCATATAGGCCACTCTTTAAATATGGGTATTAATATACGTCCAGCATCAATTAGATATGAAAAAGAATCCTTTGTCACTGGGGTATTTAAGGGAGCACCCATTTCTTTCCAATTAGGAAACAATTCATTAATTGATACTGGATGTACTACGGCACCCGACAATATATGACCGCCCATTTCGGCTGCCTTTTCCACTACACATATGCGTATTTCTTTTTGCTGCTCTGCAGCTAGCTGTTTGGCACGAATAGCAGCGGACATTCCTGCAGGTCGACCGCCCACAATCACCACATCTACTTCGGCTATAAACCGTTCCATATTGACTCCTAGGAAAAAAGAAGAGCTTTAGTAACAAACTTTACGTATAGTTTATTATCTGTATAGTAATCACATACCTTTCCATCGTTCATCATTGCCCCGCGGATGTATTGTATAATGTGTTATTATCTTTGGATATTTAACCGAATCGGAAGCACTACGTACAACGATGGGAGTAAAGAGTTTATTAACTGAAAAAAGTAATTTTTTTTAAAGTACTTTAATAAGTATTTATATGAATAGCTCTTTTAAATACATACGCGAATGTTGATGTGCAGATGAAGGTTGTTAAAAGTTTACAAACAAACTTAAAAATCTCAAACTCAATTAATAATTTAGATTAATGGATAAACTACAGACGTCTTTAACATTGAATTGAAGTTTTACACACACGCCATGTTACACAAATATCAAATATTTCAAAGCACTGATATGGTTTTACTATCATTGAAATGATAAGTTAACGTTTTAAAATAAAAATTTGAAAACGAAAAAATATTACACAGTTATTTATTCAACAATTAACTTATAATAACTTATAATAAAATATTTCCAGAGAGATGTATAACAGTTTCGTTATAAAACTGATAATATTAAAAAAAGGGGTTATTACGCCTAGTTCGAGTTAAATGCACTATCACTCTGTTCCTCTGTCCTTCTGTCTTTATTATTCTTAATACTGCAAACTTGACTACTTTCCTCGGAATCGGCGGTCAATAGGTTTGAAATACCTCAGATATCTATCAAAAATTTTATGAAAGCAGTTTATCGAAAAGGAAATGGTTTACGGATTATAGGAAACAAAAATACAGCAACGTTTACTTTTGTTTCCTCTCAAAAAGATGACCGAGTCGCAATTTTATACAGTGTTGCAAAGTTTCACATATGTTCGATTGAAATTATCAATTCATCGTGAATGCTTCTGTTATGCAAAAATATTTCTGAGAGTTTGGCGTATTTACCAGATATGAAAAGAGCGATGACAAATAACTTCTCTTTTTAATTTTGTTTCCGAGCCGATAGCCTGTGTTGCTAGTGCTCAATGTCTTTTTTTAGTCTAAGAATTCATTTCATTAGTCTAAAATTAAAATAATAATAATAATAATTTTGTTTCCACACTTTTTATAGGTTTTTCTCGTTTATAAAAATTTACTACTTGCAAATAACTAAAGGTAAGAAAGCAAAACAAAGTTGTGTAATGTATTTAATATAGCTGTTCAATTTTACCGCAAATTACTCTTAGTCAACATATTTACTTTAATTCATTTTTATAACATAAATTTTATTGTTAATGTAAGCAATTCAATAATTTCGACTTGCATAAGCATTTACGTAATTTTTGTTAGCATATTCTTTTCGTATGACCTAATTTTAATTGTTAATAACATAAGCGTTATTTGTAATGATGGTTTAGTATATAAGATACACTGTAGCATATTCAGAGGGCTTTTAACAAAATTTTATCTGCTCGCCGTGATAGAAGGGTTCAAACGATAAATTAGCCCTAGAGAACTTTTAAAATTGTTAGGTGTTGTAATTGGAAGTGTGTGTGTGTAAGCGTGTAATGAGTAAACCTACTTCGCCAGCCAGTAACAAACAAAGTGAATTAGTTAACAAACATTTTAATATTAAGAATAATCAATATCAATAATTAAAATAATGACAATTGTGTATAAGACAAAATCACTAATTGTTGTTTAGGTAAAAAAAATGTGAATTAAAATTTTAATATCAAATAACTAATTTAATTAGCAGTATAATTCAACTCACCTTTTTTAAGACTCGCCAAATGTACATTCGCGTTATGAATTAAAAAAGGAGTTTTTATAATTTTAAAAGAAATAAATTAAACAGATTAAAGGACTAGTAAGAGTAAAATTAAAATTAGGCCTTAGATTGTGACAATCAGTAACATTCAATTGATGAACTGCATCGTTGCGTTTGCGTTGGGAAACCAGTCAAACAATTGCTTTCTTGACTATGATTATAATTTTCGCATCTATTTTAAACGAACGGTACTAGTTTCCACAACCGAAAGCATATTTCTGATCTTGGCATAGCTCTGGCGCTGGGATTTTTTAAAAGTCCCCACTTTCGAAAGAGATGGTACAACTTTGTCGCCACGTCATATTTTGGGAATTGAGCTTTGTAGACTGGGAGATGATAAACAGTCAAATTATGAGGTGGAATAGAGTCAGAGTCTGTGGTGTTGTTCTTTGAGTGCGATGAACTACACAGTGGGAGGTAACGTTGTTTCTTTTCCCAAGCCGCAATGTTTCACTTTTTCAGATAATTCAGTTTTTTTTCTGAATATAATTCACTTTTTGTCACAGCTTTCTTTTTCTGTTTTCGTCAACTTTCTTCTTCTCCTACTTCTTTAACCAATTTTCGTATAGAATCTTGAATTTCACAAGCCCCTTTTTGTATCAAATTACTCTTTCACTTATTTAGAAGTTATTTGTTTGTTTTGCTTTCGCCAGATCTGGATTTATCGAGAAATATTTTATTAAATTTCCTAAAGATTTTCCATTTCTATGCGAAAATTTTTGAACAAATTTTTGTTTGAACTCAGAGGCGTTTTTTTCCACAAAAAAAATAATGGAGTCCGTTTATTTTCAGAAAAATTGGCATGTAAATCCAACAATCAAAACCGACTGACCCTCCAAAAATTCTCTTTTTTCCTTCTTTCAAAAAAAAACATCGCCTACTCACTTTCCTATAACACTCAATCAATTATCAATTATAAATCATTCATAATCATAATCAAGAGTAAATTTCCAGTCATTGATTCTCTTCGGAATTTCTTCCCATCCTAAAAACGTGAAAATCGCGAATTTCGCGAGGCCTAATTTGCGTACAGCCCTAATACAATTTATTCTTAACAGTTGCTTTAATTTTCGTTAACTTTGCGAGTTTTGTGAAAGTTTAACCAGAGAAAATGTTCGTTTGGGTTTTTCAGTGAATCGTTTTTTTTCGATTTTTTACTTTAGTTTGAGAATTTGTTAAAAACTGCAGGGTGGGAATTGAAGTGGAAAAACATTCACTGGATTTCGCTTAAAGCAATCTGCCTTTCTACAAAGCCAAAGCGAAAGTCGACGTCATCATGATAAGGATTTTGTTTCAAATGCTGCCAGTGATAATGCAGCTTTAAAAAGAATGCAAAAACAACCAGATGGTATTAAAAATTTCAGTTTTTCATATAAGGTTATAGCAGATCTAATCTCCAAAAATATTTCAGTATCTAAAACAAAAATCAATTTGTATGACCACAGAAAAATGTAGCAAGAGCGTTGAAAGTTCTTTAAAAATTAAAAGCGGGGCTTCTCCTGTTTTTCTAGTAAATTAATTTGATAACAGTTTTTACATTGTCTCCTAAAGTGCAGCTTGGAGACTTATGTTTAAGCAGTAAACATGGCACCTCTATCCAACATGTGTTCGATTAAAATTATCAATTTGTAGGTTGTCTCAAGAAAAGGTATTGGTGCAAATTGACAATTCTTTCATTTAAAAAAAAGAAACGCGATAATCGGTCGGACGATGTGGTATCCGATACCTTCGATTTTGTGAGGTCTGCGAAAATTTCAAAATAATAAACTAAATTCAGATGTTGCGGTAAGTTTTTTTCTTTTAATTTGTATTCTGAGTTGCATGTTTGCAGGAAACTTGTGTTCACAGTGCTGATATGACGCTAGCAGGGGAGCGATTTTCCTAATTAATTTCGTGCTTATCATTTCCTTTGGTTTTCTTTTAAAATGATGAATAGAGTTAGGCAGGAACAATAAAGTCTTGTAATTTTAGTTACCTAAGCTAGTGAAAATATAATTGAAGGGAAAACACGTTTTGGAATTTTTTGCGTAGCGGACGGACGAATGGAAAAGCTTAGATCGATTCTAAAAATAATTATGAATCGATTGGTATATTGAAAAGTGAGTCTATAACAAGAATTGGGTAATGCATACTTAAGAAGAGAATTTTTTTTTTTTTTTTTTTTTTTGGTATGTTGAACAGAGATGGACTAAGCCAATAGATTTGTGGCTTATATGTCCAAATAATAAACTGTTGTAATTTTTAGTCACGATTATGTATAAGACGTAACAAAAAAAAAGAGCGGCCGTAATAACTGGAGTGAGCATGTTAAATGTAATTGTGTGTGTGTGTAAGTGTGCTTGTTGAGTTCTTGAAAGTCAGACAGTGTTGCAAACTTTGGCTGAAAACGTAAAGGAATGTCATGGTAATTGAAAATGATTGAAAAAAGAAAAAACAAAAAAAAAGGAAAGAGGAGGAAAAAGAAAAATTCTAAAAGGATAAATTGGCTTTTCTAATAAAGCAAGTTAGTTCCCCGAGATGGCGTACATTTTTTGCTGCAAAGAGATCGAGGAGATAGCCATATAACTTGAAGAAGCTAAAGGAATCTCTAATGCCATCAAGCCTGTGACATCTGAAGATTAGATGCTCAGCAGTCTCAACAACATTGCAAACTTCACAAACATCACATGGTATAGCACGAATCATTTTTAAATAAACTTTGTCATAAGTGTGACCACTCATGAGTCTATAAAGAATTTTGATTTCCCAGGAATTAAAAGAAGATACAGAGAAGGGTCTGAATTGAAATGTGGGATTTAATTTATAGAAAAGACGATTGGATTTAACGCGCGCAATTACTATAACAAGAATTGGGTAATGCATACTTAAGAAGTAAGAGAATAATACACTTTTGTCTTGGCGCATAGGTCATCGCCTATGATTTGATACGGATATAGAATCTTTGAAGTTTACTTCTAATTATTGCAAGCATTTTAACAAAACGACCTCAACTTACGGTGTATAACCCCAAATGCGTTTTGAATTATATCAGAAAAGATTTGTGTTTCTTATGATGTAGACATTGCTAGCTTTTATGGTGAAAAAAATTTTGCAAAATTGCTCAATCAATTTTCGCTGGTATCAATATTTAATGATTTTCCACAATTTTTTCTTATCCATTCAGGATTGTTATCTCAACCAAATGGTGACGTAGAAGCAGCTTTTGCTTAAGAGCCCCAACCGCTTCATAAGCTCATATTTGCGTAAAGTGAAAAATGGTTTCAAACAAATGGAAATCGACATAACAAGTCGTGTAATCTACTTGAGAGACATTCTTTGTTTAAACGTTTGCAATTACTGCCTTCACTGCCGGCTAAACTGAAAACTTTAATATGAAGCTCAAGATGTTCAATATTATGCAATCCACAAAAGTATTTTGGCAATATGAATTCAGCTTGATGATGATTGTGATTCCATAATCCAACCTTTAAAGAAGATATTAAAGCAAGAATTTCAAACTGGAAATCTGTTACAAAAGCTAATTGAAATATTCTTACTGCAGAAACGATGAATTCTTCTACTTCTACACGTTTGCATGATCAAAGCAACGTGGTGTAATTGAATCTAGATTTGCGTCATGATGATAAATTTAGATTTCCTTAATGATCTTACTACCGTTTATATTCAGATATTATGGATAGAAAGGAAAGAATTTTTCTGTAGTAGGTTATGAATGACTGCAATACATTTCCACACTTTGATCAAAGGTCGTGCCGACTCTGGTATAGATTCTAATGACACACGAGTAGTGTTTGGAGCCCCATGTTGTCACGTTTTGGCAATGTCTAATATATATTAATCAACGGAATGCACCGAATGTAATAATAAAAATATGCCGGCTGTCATCTGTGGGAAGCTAATAGACGCACTACTACACATCTCGAAATCAATTTCGCAGATAGTTAAACTGTGCAAGGAATGCTTGAGTTGCCGATTCCAGTCTGAACGATGTGATTACTAACTCGTGCGGTTCAGTGAGATTGAAGTAAGGGAGTGATTCAAGTCAGTGCTCCCGGGGGCCGAACGTCCATTTCCTGTTGCATCAGAGTATGAAAGTGACTTATATGTAGAAGAAAGCTTAGTAGCCTGTTTTCCGCGACGTATTATGAATCTGGCGATTTCTTTTGGGCACGGTCCCATTTTTGGAAAACGCAATCGTGCACAAATTTTGGTAAGTAAACCTTTGAACTGTGCCACAACTTTTCTTCTAATTACGGGCTCTCTTCCTAATTATATGAAATTGATTGGAAAAATAGTGCCACATTAACTCATGAAATCGAGACGACCAAATTTATTCAATTAAACACTTCGCGATTGGATCTTAATTAATTAAAAGTGTCCGTCATGCATCGTTCGTTTTCAAGAAGAATGGCCTTTTACTTCGTTAAGATTCCCAAAATCTCATGATGCTGTAAGAATTAGTTTGAAGGCAAAGTTTTTATTTTCTTTTAATATTGATTACCTCATCATTTAGTAAATAAGAAGGACGACATAGGCTTTATTTTACAAAAAAAAATTATTAAGAATTGATTTAAAATTTAATTTTTGATCTCAGAAATTTCATATGCTGTTTTACGAATACAGTTACATGCAGCCACATTAATGAATGGTCTTTAATGGTATAAATGTTTCATTACCGCTGAGTATAGTGTTTCTTTCCAGATTTTGCTGGAACGTGCCGGAATTACGCACTTCCCGTAAATTTGGTTTACGATATATTAAGATAATAATCGAGAACTCAAGCTCGCTATTTTTGTTGCATTATTTGTCCTGAGGTAAATTCTGGCCTCTCCGATTTAACATCGACTTTCGTTTTTGATGCTATCCCTATTGTTTAATAGAGCATAATTTATTTTCTAATAGCTTTACTGACGTTTGAGTGTAATTTGCAGTAAATGGATGGGTGTGTGCATATTTTTGATAAGCAAAGGACCTTGACGGGAGCAGGTGTGAGTTGTATAGAAAATTTGTCAGTCTTTCTTTGATCATTTGGTTCGTAACTTTTAGAAGTACGAGCAGGAGGGATATGGGTCTGAAATTAGTGAAAATTTCAAGATCTCCAGGTTTGGGAATGGGCACTACAGTGGGAAACGTGTTGGTCATCCAGCGATCATTTATAGCAGATAGTAGAGTTAGAAGGCTTGGCACGGGAAGGTTCTTTATCATATCATATTTGATATTTGATTGAATGGAGAGATGTTATCCGTCTGAGAGTTAAGTGCGAAAGCTTTGAAAACATTTGGCAGGGGAACTTGAGCTTTCAACCATTCTAGGTAAAAGTTGTTGTTATGATTATCCCAAATGGGGTGTTTCTATTTCCTTTTGGTAGTACGATGGCCATTCAAAAATTTCCAGAATGGTTTAGTGTTGCTATTTGAGCAAAGATCTCCTTCTAACTGATTTTTTCCATTCTTTTTGGGATAAATTGAAGTCATCAAAGTTAGAGATATTAGGGTATTTAAAAAATTTTTGTTTAGCAGCTTGTAATTTACGGAATTGTGAAATGAGCAGCTTGTTTCACTAACGTTTTGGTGAGTAGGAATCGGAGATGTGGATGTTTGATCTGGCGTTGTTTATTTCTCGTTGAAATGAGCACTGGATGGACTCAACCTGTGGCTCGAGACATATGTGCATAAGATTATTTGGGAGTTTTTTCCTCGAGATAAAATCATTTATTTTGAAAGAGGTAATAAGGGTGGCGCTAAAGAGAATAGGAAGGTGGTGGCTGTTTTCCAGAAAAATTTCTTTTTTGACCTCCCGCTTGAACGTGAAATTGGTTACGTTAGTGAAAGTTAGATCCAATACGCTACCACAACTGTTGGTTGTAGAGTGCACATAGGTTGGGGAATTGTCATTTGGACGGTAGAAATTATTGAATTTCATGATTTCTTGCAAGTCTTTGCCTATATTGTTTGGCTCAGAGTCACCAAAGCAAGGGTGTCTTGCATTAAAATCTCCTGCAATTATGACATTGTGGAAGCTATCGAACATATCACGGAGGCGATTAATGTCATCCCGTAAAGATTGAATAGGAGTGTTAGGTTTGAAATAGCAAGCAGGAATGACCATATTAGGTTTTACGGAAGAAGTTTTGACAATAACAATGTCAGCAGCTGATTTAAAGGGCATTTGTTTGAAGGAGATGCCTTTCCTGACAAGGATGGCAACACCGCCATAGCCGTTACTACTACATTTATAAGCGGAGTTGTAATTTGAGATTTTGAGATCGGAAATGTTGTCGTCGGACAGAAAGATTTCACTCAAAATGGCGAAATCAGTTCGGTTGGAATTGATGAAATAATCCAGCGAATGGGCATTTACGCCTGAAGCTTTGTATGTTGTATTGTAAGAAGGAGGTCATTGAGAGATATTAGGGCATGATGAGACCAGCTCAGATGAATCTTGTTTTAAGAGATCAAATTCTGATTTGAGGGTGAGTATTTCTACTTGTATGGTTTTGAAATTTGGTTCGTGATGAGTGAAAGAATTTTGAAAATCTTCTCCAAGATCATTTCCATTTCAGTAGATTTGTGATTATTGATGAATGTGTGCCTTTCATCAGGAAGGGGGAGCTTTTTGTGCTCGTATGTGCTGCTGCTATGAGTTAAGGGCTTTTTGTAAGATGGTCTTTGCGTAGGTTTGGGAACACTCGTTTTATTTTTGTAGAGATTGTGTTGGAGAATTTTTCCTTATATTCTCTGAAGGATATGTTTTGAATAGTAAGAATCTTGTTTAAATTTTCTTCTCTCCGCAACTCAAGCATATAACCGGCCAGGCCGGTGTCTTGCCACATTTTAGTCATCTGCCTTCCCTACTTTTACTCTATTTTGCGATATGAACAAAACGGCCGCAGTTATAGCATACTTTGACAGAGAGGATGAAATAATCAACCGGGATGTTGCAGAAATTAAATTTTATAAATATAGGGATTATTTTACATTTGAACCCCAATCTTAAGGCTCTTGGTGGGAATAAACATTTCTCTATTGGTAGGGTCCGCCCTAGGCTGACGATGGGAGAATATAATGTATTCACGAAGTACTAGAGCGCTATTTTTTACATTCTCTGTACATAAACTTATCGCCTTGTAAATCATTTGTCTTCGTGTTTCGGCGGATGATGTCGTCACAACGACGTCCGCTACGTAGGAAAACTCTTAGAGGGAATTTATTTATCGTCACTGGCTTCCTTTGTCGATCAGAAGGTTGGCCTTCACATTCTTTTGGAATTTCATTCGAAGTCAGTTGATTCGACTTTGACGTGGTGCTGAATCTCCAGCACCATTTGTGCGTCACTCCCTACGCACGTCAAGTCGGGTGCGTTATTATAAAACACATAATATTTTTCACTGTCATTGCTGATCTGATGTAAGATCTACAAAGCTACAAAAAGCGAGGCGTTAGCGTAAGCAAGGTATTTTGAACCGGTTGACTGAGCCCCTTGTTGTATCAAGAATTTAGCGTTTGTAAGAGGTTGAAAAAGCGTTTTACAATAATATTTTATGGCGAGCCGATCAGCTGGATCTAACTTTTCTAAACTCCTCCTTCCTTCTCCTCCTCCGTTCTCCTTCTTTAGATGACAAATACTTTATTTGTTTATAAACTGGACATCCACGATAATTCGCGCTTTTTTGCAACGTCTTCATTTTTTTGGATGCAAACCGAATTGTGATGAAGATCGCCGCATATTATGCATATTGTGGAGAGGTTGCTGTTCCCTCTTTTGGTGCCAAATTCTTGGCAATTTATACATTGACGCGAATTAATGCGATAATCTGGTTCTTCTTTTACAATATTTTTTCGGTAGTGGAAGTTATTAATCGCGTGCTTCCTTTTTCCCCTTTCTTGAATTCGCTTTTACCAAATTCTAGCTCGATCTGGAAAAGTGGTTGTGCGATTTTATCTCTGTTTGTTATATTATATGTAAACTTCGCCTTAAGTCCCTTCTTTGTTAAATTCGCTGCGATTTCAGTGTTGGGACACTACTTTCTATGCCTTTTATGAGACCGTTTGCTCTCCTCAAGAAATATGTGTAATAATTTTTGTTCCTATTATCCAGACACTTAACTATTTTCTTGTAGTTCTTTTCAGTGCGCAAATGCAACGTTATCTTCCTCGATAGTACCTCCGGCGATGGCTTTTGTAGCCGTGAAACATTGGTTTCCAAGAAATTTATAACAAACAAAAATGCCTAGAGCTTCGTGTTTTTGTATATTTTGTATTAATTCTGGAAATTATTGGTTGAACATTGACGAAAAAAAAACCAGTACTGCGATGTGGTGACTCGCGACTCGATTGTTGTTATAATGAATTTATTTCCACAGAACTTTGCTTTGTTAAATTTAATTTTTCCGCGATCTGCAGAAAAATCCCCTTTTGGGTAACGGCAGCCAACCTTATGAGCCTATAGGACCAGTTATTAGTTCCAAAATGTCTCTTCAGTCATCTCTATCATATTGAACTTTCCAAACACTCAGTCGTATCAGTCGTTCAGGGAAAGCGGCCAGGCTATTCGCTATCTTTAGAGTCCCGAAAGTCTTTATTTTATCAATTACGGACTTACCAGTTTGGTTGAATTATTTAATGCACTCGCGTTGGATTGTCAATTTTCTTCTTTTTTTTAGATTACTTAAAAAAAGTCTTTACTTTATATTGTTATACACATTTTTTTTAAAATTTTTAAATTTACTTACTACAAAAAAACGTTCCCAACAAAAAAGAAAACTTGACATCCCAAAAAAAAAATAAAACCAACGCCTACTTGTTTTTCTACATGGTACTACTGAAAAACCAAGGGGTTGCCAAGTTTATTTATTCCAATTCATTTTTTAACATTTCGTATAAATTTTGATAATTACCTGATTTTCTTAGCGTAACTAGTACTATTCTAAGAATATATCTTTTGTCGGGTTAAGATTTAATTCTTTCGCTATTAAACATTAATATTTCTTTCTATTACGACTAACAAGCCCCAAAAAAAGGAAATGACAAAATAAGAGGTTTCTTTTAGGTTTTTGTTTTTGCTTAAGTCTAGAGTTATTTAAAATTCTTAAAAATTACTTACATCTAACGTATGCCTACGTACAATTATTGCGAAGTGTTATACACTAAGTTCGGCAGACCATACAGATTTTTGCTTCTATGATAGAAGTAAAACTTACTGTTTATGGTT